GGGTGGTGTCCAGGTGTTGGTGGTCCCAGGCAGTGTCAACAGAAGCAACCTGGCTAAACTTTGCCTGATGTGGCAACTTAGCCTCTTCCATAAGAACCCCAGAACTTTCCATTCTTTAGGCCCTTGGGGACTGCTTTTCTTTAGACTTAGCATCACATAACACAACACAATAGCATAACTCTACAGTTAAGCACCAGCCCCCAGAAAGAGAAAGGGAAAGGAATAGGAATAGAATCTAAGTCACAGACCTCCTGCAGGACTTCCTAACAATCCATGGCAAGAGACGTTTCCCTCTGTTTTTATTGCGAACCCATTGCAGACAATTTTTTTTTTTGCAAAAGATAATAAAAATGAGGGGGGAAATGAAATGAAAAATAAAGTCATACAAAACACATCCAATATTTTAATTATTACATTCAACAGACACAGAAATTATTCTGTCAAAATTTTCTCAACACTTCCACTCAGTCTGGTCTCACTGTGGATAGAATCCAGTCAGGGAACCACCGGCTTAGAGCAGGGAACATTCTCTGAGTCAACAATATCAGCTCTTGTCCAGGCTGTGAATGGTAGGGGCTGGGGGCTCTCCGGGACGCTCCAGAGAAACCTTACCTTATGGAGATCTCACTCATGCAACAGACATTGCTGAGTTCCTAAGACATCAATGTCCTGCCTCATCTTCCCCAACAGTCATTTCACTGAATTCCAGTGAACTTTGATGAGCACTTCCAGTCACTTGGCGGGGGGGGTTATCTCTTGTCATCTGGGAGACAGGGCACAGGTCCATCAGGTGTCCCAGGCCACTTACCTAGCGTTGTCATTTCATTCCACTCCCAGCAGTGCTATTGCCCATGTGTGTGTGGGGGGGGGGGGGGGAGGTGCGAGGACCCAGACTCTAGTACGTCTGTGGTTCTCAACAATGCTTTGCCCTCACCATCATGCTTTTCTCCCACCTCAGCTCACCTAACTTTAAGATGAATAAGGAGAATGATTGGGATTGGGGTCTGTAGGGAAAAATCAAAGCAAGCAGGAAACATGAATGATGGTACTTGAAGGGTCATAATGGAGAGCATGATGCACGTTGCCCTCCCTTTCTCCCAGGACAGGTCTGGACAAAATGGCTGTACATGGAGGATCGAGCTGGCCAATGGACAAGCTCTATCCATGTAAAACCAACATTGATGTTCCTACTTCACGTGTCTAAGAGTAGGCTCCTCACACCTGACATTCACCTGGGAAATATGCTTGTTCTTGGTCTGTAGAAATAAAAGGCAAGATTTGGGGTGCTAAGCCCTCCAAAAACACAATCAATACTGTCACACACTCACTGTGTTAGTGAGTCCCTAGCTCAGTCAGATTCGGGAAGGAAAATGGTCGCTCTGCCTCTCAGGCCTCATCGATGTTCTCTCTCCCAGGAAGAAGAAAGGTAGGAAGACCTCAGGGCCCCATTTTCGTTCCCCATAAACATTCAACTATGCTCAACCAGGGCTAATGAGGCTGAAGGACTTTTAATGGTGTTTCACTGTGCCGTTATGTTTTAAGGAATGTTTTTAGCTTTCTACATTTGCCTGCGAGCAAATCATTTTAGGGGTACACTTTGATCAAAAGCATACATCAATAAATCCGGGTGATAATGACCTTTGCATTAATAACATCCTGAAATATTTGTCCCACAACTCTAGACAAGGCTTATGTCCCTTGTTTAAGATGGTGTTGGTACAAAGCTTGCAAGTGCTAATCAACCCAGTATTAGGAATGTTCTGATTTTCAGATTTGTCAGCAATTAGAGTTTATTCATGCTGTACCCAAAAGCCATATGTGAGAGCTTTATCTTTCTGAAAACCCAACATGAATTCTTACACATGAACATTTCATTCCTAGTCTCTGAAGAACTCCAGTAGTTCCCTCTGAATCCAGAGAATATAGTTTGGTATGACTGAAGAAAATGGTCCTTGAGTATAGAAATTGAATTATATTTATAGCCAAGTTAGCTACCACAGAAAGTCTCTCTCTCTCTTGTTTTCTCATATCACCTATGGTCCCCAAAATTGGAATTTCTTAACTTTATACCAATTTCACCCATCAGTTTGAGTCAAGGTGTCTGCCAGACCTTTTGCAAAGTCAAATCCTCAAGGGACAATGAAGATTTGCCACCACCAAGGTCAGGGTTGTAAACGGATGTGCTGTGGCCACATTAAAAGCAATTCCAGAAGAGGGAGTCCCAAAATACTCTAGATCATGGGTGGCAAAGTATGGCAGCCACCAAAGCCGGCTTTGGTGGCCGCCACTTGTTTCTGTACAACCTACAAACTAAGAATAGGTTTTTTTCGCATTTTTAAATGGTTGAAGAAAAAAATAAAGGAGAATTTTTATGGCATATGAAAGAAAATTACACGAGATTTAATTTTTAGTATCTGTAAATAAAGTTTTATTGGAACATAGCCATGCTCACTCATTTATGCATTATCTGTGGCCTCTTTCACACAAAAAGTGACCGAGCTGTGTCATCGCAACACAAAAAGTGACCGAGTTGAGTCATTGCAACACAAACTGTATGGCCATCAAAGCCCGAAACGGTCGCTCTCTGGCCCCTCTGTGATGGCTTCACTGAGATCCTGTAGGGCTGCTGTAGAAAAGACTACACTCATTTGAAAACACAGATTGTGAGAGGTATTGTTTAATCAGCCTCATGTCTGCACTCTCACTGGAGATAGTGCCAGTGCAACACCTCCTGGAGCGACAGAGGAAGTTTGTCCTCATTCACTGTCATCACCACTACTGGCTTGGGGCCCATCGGTGGGCCAGACACTGTCAAGCATACAGAGAAGCACACCTAATGCTTGAAAGCACAAGAACTAATTGTTTCTATTGTGGCAAAAATATACATAACATGAAAGTCACCATTTTAGCCATTCCTAAGTGTCTATTTCAATACAATTCAGTACATTTACAGTACTGTGCACCCATCACCACCATCCATCTCCAGAGCTTTCTCCTCCGCCCAGACTGAAACTCTGTCCACACTGACCACTAACTCCCCATCCTCTTTCCCAGCTCCTGGCAGCTGCCCTTCTACAATCTGTCCTTAAGAACTGGACTGCACCAGGCACCTGATGTAAGTGGAATCACACTTTTGTGTCCAGCTTATTTCACTTAGCATAATATCTTCAAAGAAGATCTCACTTTTTTTAAAAAAGATTTTTTTTTATTTTTAAGTAATCTCTACACCCAGTGTGGGTTTCTAACCCACAACCCTGAGATCAAGAGTCACACACTTCAGCAGAGCCAGCGAGGTGCCCTAGGAATGACTTTTATTGATGTTTCCCGGTTTAGGCAGAGTTTCACAAACATTATCTCACTTGTATTTGGCACAACTGTTTTATGAGGCAGGTTATTTTGATCTCATTAGAGCAAAGACTGTTGGTTAGCCCTGAAACCCCCCTGAGGTCACCCACAGGCGGATCCTGCACCTGCCTCATGGCTCCCTGGGCCTCTCTGCTTCAAGGTGTTCTCAACACAGGGCATGCCCAGAGTTGCTGAGAGTTGTCACTCCAAGAGTGACCCTCGCTTACAAGAGGCAGGACGCAGTGGCTCTGCACCACCTTCAGCCCTCCAGGTCTGAGGTGGATGACACATGTCTCTCAGGGGTGTCCACTGTTCTGGGCCCCTGTACTCACTAATCACTCTGAATTGGCTTCCTCTCTTTCCTGTCTGCGTATCTCAATCCCTCCCTCGCTCCTCAGGGTGACCTCCTAAATAAATTGCTTGCACCAAATCCTTGCCTCGGGATCTGCTTTGCAGGGAACTTGCTGACTCTCACACAACTGGTAGGTAGAAAGTCAGAGGTTAAGTTCTAGTTTTCTCACTCCAAGGGCAGGGCTCTTCTCTCTGCCTGCCTTACAGTAAAAGCAAAAGCGGTCTCTGCCTCAGGCATTCGGTTCTGGTGTTGGCTGAGGCCTTAGAAAGGGAGTGTTAACTCTCAGTTAATTCCTTCCTTGAATGACCTAAACCAGAGCTCCTTATAAAGATACTAATCTTGATCAGACTGCTTTGTAAAAGTGTTATACTTGGGGAACTGGTCCTATCTTCAGCAGGATGGAGCTGATGTGTCAAGACTGGTTATCGTTAAGTAAATTTGGAATTTATAGATTTACGGGGCACAGAAGACTGGAGAAGACAGAATAGTGACACACACATTTTCTGTATGATAAACAGAATACCCCAAACCTAACTGCCTTCCTTCGAAAACAATGTGTTTATCTACGTTGCTTAAAACTCACCAGCCTAGAGCTAAACTACATTTTCGTATAGAAGGGCATGTTTTGGGATCTGATTCTCAGTTTGGGGCTCCTCCAAAAAAGAGTTTCATCTGTGTCTGTACTTGCCTGTATCATTTGAATCATCAGCTTTCTGTTGGGTAAGATCTGTACTTCACACTGAGTCTCTTTGACATCTCAACTCTTTGTGTTAACACTCATATGTACACATTTAAAAATAATAATTAGCATAGGAAGATCTCCTTATCCAAGGATGACTAGTTTTAGTAAATGTTTGTTAAAAGGGAATCTTATTAAAATGAGACCAAAATTTCATAGTAAATCCTGGGGAAGTGGGGGTGGGAAGCTTAATACATTACCTCAAAAAGTAAAATTCAAATTATGAAAAAGTTTTTCATTTCGCCTTTATCAAAATTTATTATAATGTTGTGCACCTAAAACTAATGCAATGCTATCTGTCAATTATACGTCAATGAAACAGGAGGGGGGGCGCCTGGGTGGCGCATTCGGTTAGGCGTCCGACTTCAGCCAGGTCACGATCTCGCGGTCCGGGAGTTCGAGCCCCGCGTCGGGCTCTGGGCGGATGGCTCAGAGCCTGGAGCCTGTTTCCGATTCTGTGTCTCCCTCTCTCTCTGCCCCTCCCCCGTTCATGCTCCGTCTCTCTCTGTCCCAAAAATAAATAAAAACGTTGAAAAAAAAAATAAAAAAAAAAAAGAAACAGGAGGGAAAAAACTTGTAGTTTCAACCACATGCTGATTGGTTTAAGTGGGAAAACAGCAGTTGATTTTTGGCCTCTTGGAAAAGTTCATTCTCAAGAAGGTTCCTGTCAGAAGACAGTTGCCATGTTGTAAGAAACTCTAGCCACACCAAGAGGTCAAGTGTAAGAACTCTGGACAATCTCTCCAACTGAGCCCACGGCCATCTATCAACGCTAAGAGTGTGCCATCTTGGATGCCCCACCCTGTACAGCCTTCAGACCCCTGCTGCCTCCACCAACATCTGGCCGCAGCTACAAGAGACCCCAATTGGACAGCACACAGCTAAGCTCAGTCAACCCATAGATCCTTGAGAAGTGACAAATTTTCATGTTCAGTCACAGGAAAAAGTTAATAATTTTTGGAATAATTTTTCTGTGAAAATTGTACCTACCAAAATTGTACCTCACACAGGGGTGGGGGCTCCCCTTAGCCAAGGGCACCTTGAGTTCCCTCAGAGTAAAAAGGGAGCCTACGTGCAAAGAAATGCAGCTAGATCTATAGATGTGATATGGGTAAGATGTGGAAGATTTCTTCTAGTTGCTTCTATACTTGTGAAAAAGAAAGCAAACCATCAGCTGAGAGTAAGGGCAAGAAGGAGACAGTGAGAGACTGAGAAAGAGAAGGTGGGAAATGGCCACCCAGGAACTTGGGTCCCAGGAAAGTGCTCCTGAGTGGCTGACATATGAACAGGATGTAGATGGATAAATGAAGAGGGAAGAGCAATCTATGCAAAGGGAAGAGCATCGCTGGGGTGACAGGGTGACTATTGGTGTCATTCACTGAGAAAGGAATATAAAAAGAATGGTGCACCTGGCATCGAGTCCAAGTGTCCTTTAGGTGGTTGGATACACAGGACTGGAGCCCAGCAGAGTCTGGTCAATCAGAGGGATGAGAGCGTCGTGGATAGGTGAGCCATTATGGATCAAGAAAGCAAGGGAGAATGTGCAGAATGAGAGAGCAGAGGTCCAGCCTCTGAATCATGGAAAACACGATCATTTAAGGAAGGAGCAGGGAAGGGCAAGGGAAGAGGTGGAAAGCCTCCAAATCGGTAGGCTGGGATTAAAAATGAGAGCTAGAGGGAAAGTGGCCAACTAGAACTCAAGAAAAGAGATATTTTCAAAAAAATTATGAGCAGTGTGTCCGGTGCCACAGAAGGGGTAGGTAGAAAAGAGCCTGTCAGACACGGCAATATGGAGGTCACTCGTATTCCAAGCTGGGCTGGATTCTGTGTGGAGGGATGAACCATAGCTGAGAAAGTCCATACTGCAAGTGTGGAGGAGCCTTTCCAGAAGGTTGTCTGTGAAGAAAGGGAGATGAGACAGAAGCTGAATAGGACTAGAGGGATTGGCTTTTGTTTTTTGACGGTTGGTTTGTGTTAAGATGGGAGTGACCCGAGCTTGGGAGGGAGCATTGATCCCACCACCACAGCAAGTAAGGAGCGCCTGCTCCTCCAGGGGCTGGAGCCACAGCCACGAGCAAAAGGAAGTCCTGCCCTCCAGCAGCGTATCCTCCAGAATGCACAAACCTACAGAGGGACGAGCAACAGGACAATGCGATGAGCTCTGAGGAGAAACGGAGCCAGGTGGGGAGAGATGGGAGGCTGGTGGCCATGGGGGGGTGAGGGGGGTGGGGGGCACCTCCCTGCTGAGGTGACATCTGACCAGAAGCCTGAGGGAAGAGGGGAGGTGAGCAGGAACCTGGCGTGGGGGGAGGACAATCCAAGTAGAATGAACATCAAAGCTCATCAAAGTGAAAACCCATAGGTGGGAGGGCACTTGGCATCTTCACAGGATTCCTAGGAAGCAGGTGTGGCTGGAAGAGGATCCCCACTAACCCCAGGGAGAGTTAGGGGAGCTGGGTCATGTAGAAGCCTAGAGACCACTATCAGGACTTGGCTTTTTACAGAAAATAAAATAAATAAAAATAAAATAAAATAAATAAAATAAAACAAAACAAAATTTAAAAAGTAACATTGGTTGTTAATACAGGAGTAAGACTACTATCTGAGAGAGCAATGGACAGGAAAATGTGGAAGGGGAGAGAAATCTTCAGGCAAGAGAGAAAGAAAGGACAATGTTGGCGAGGTTACCCTGGACAGAGGAGAGCCTTGGAGAGTTGTTGCCTAATGGCCTTGATTGGCTTTCAGTAATCTATGAAGCAAGGTGGTGAGGAAAGAGTGGCAGTGGGGAGAAAGGTGTCAGATGGAGAGATGAGGAGGGAGAGGGTTTGGAAGAGCTGCCCAGGGATGATTCATGAAGAGGGACCAAGCTGTTAAGACCTTGACTGTGCAGAAGCCCTCCTCCACGAGTGACCTCCACAATGCCGTGTCCGATGGGCTCTTTTCTACCTACACCTTCTGTGGCACCGGACACACTGCTCACACTTTTCTTGAAAATATCTCTTTTCTTGAGTTCTAGTTGGCCACCTTCCCTCCAGCTCTCGTTTTTAATCCTAGCCTACAGATTTAGAGGCTTCCCACCTCTTCCCTTGCCCTTCCCTGCTCCTTCCTTAAATGGCCAGGGTTCTTTGTGCTGCTCGGCAGCCTGGTTTGGGTCAGGGACAACCAGACGAAGGGCAAATGGGGAGCAAGGGGGCAAGGGCAAGGGAATCAAGGGGGACAGTGAGAGTGACTGTGTCAGGGACACCAGAGGTCTCATTGCACAGAGACAGGGATGACACAGAGGGTACACGTAGATGTGGCACAGAGGTCAGGGACAGGTGGTCTCAGTGGGTAGAAGTTCAAGCCAGTGGGGGTCAGAAAGTGAATGATGTGAAGGACAGGAGATCACGATCAGAAGGCAGACCTGTGGGATTTTCGTTTGTGGGAGTAGATTGGTGAGTTGTTGTAAGGCTCAAGTGTAGCCCAGAAAGGAGAATAGCTGAGGTCACCGGCTCACCTCGCCACCTGATGGAGGCCAGTGGGGGACTTGTGGCGATACAAAATTGGACCACCACCCACGGCCAGGCTGGATGTCAGTGAGAATGGGTGTGGAGAGGAGGCCCAGGGACTCTGTTCCAAGAATCTTGAAGAATGTGATGACAGAAGACCAAAGACAATGGCATCAAAGAGAGAGGAGTGGGGTGGAAAGCAGGACCATGTGGATCTCCAAGGTCTGCTGCTCCAGCCAGCCCGTACAAGTGACAGCGACTGGCCCTGCTTCTCCCTCGCTGCCGCCTGCCTTTGCTCATGCCACACTCTTTTGGGGATCCCCTCCTCCCCGACCCACTGAAATCCTACCTGCCCTCAAGCAACAAAAGGACACCTCCATGAAACACTCCTTTTTTACTACACAAGGTGGGGTTTCACCTTCCTCTTGATGGCAACACCACTTTGTTTAGAACACTCCCCCAACATTGATCTGTGCCCATCTTGGAGCTGTAGATACACGTGTGCGTCTTCCTCTCTGATTCTAGAACACAGGGGCTTGTTCACATCATGGAGTTTAGCAGAGCAGACCGTCCAGGCATATTTGTTCCCTTCATCAAGGACAGTCATTATATCTGAACATGCTCCTCCCAGGCTCAGGGAATTCTCAGAAATGGCACCCCCTGGCCTACAATGACTCAGGCCAAGTGTCTAAATGCACAAGGGGTACAAATTAGCTAGTCAACTCTCCATATATGCATATTGACTTAAATCTTCTTGCTTGAGTTTTAATCTTATAGTTCACTTTAGGGAATGGGTTTAGGTAAGAGAGAGGAATTCATCCTTACAACACTGACAAACTGAATCCTACCTGTTTGCCAGGCCTTGCTCTTTAAAAGGTCAGAAGAATTTTTATATTTACGGTCACATTCAATTTCCCCACCTTATCTGCAAGAAGGCAATTGATGAAGGCTTCTTATGAGTTCATCGTATTTTCCGTGGGCGAAAACTCCTTGTTTCCCACGGGTCTTCAGGTTCCTCTTTGAGACCAAATATCCCTTTGAGATGAGATGAGGCAGATCCCTTTCTATTGCCCCAGAGGCCAGCACAGCACTGGGAGGATGGTGGCAAACAGAGGAGAGAGCTCTGACCTCCGTATTCTGTTCTGTCCCAGGGAAGATGCTCTGTTTTCCATCAAAAACAAGATCATTCTAAATGTCAGTGCTCCACACCCATCTGGGGTCCTGAAAGCAAGCTGCCTGGTTTCTGAATCAGATGTCATCCCCCACAGAAGAGCCGCTTGCCTCCAAAGTCGGCTGGGCGGGAGGGACTCAATCATCTCCCCCAATGAAGTTGCCCCCATGATCAGCTCACACGCAGTCATTTCTTTCAAAGTCAGAAAATGGAGATGAAGCAGACAGCAACAGAGAACCCTTTCATCACAGCGTCTCTGACCCTTCGGAGACAAACGGTTAAGACAAATCCTAATGGGCTCATTTATGGGAGTGAATAGTTTACTCCCCTAGACCCACACAAAGCATGGCCACTTTCATGGGGCACCTAGAAGGGGCAGAATGAGATGAAACGTAGTAACGTAGTCTATGGGCCACTGTGGGTTTCACGGGTGAAACCCAGGACACACTGTCTAAAGACTCAGACACAAGTCATGGCAAGCAAGCAGAGCACTAAGGTACTGACAAAGCCCTGCAAAGATTTTCTTGGGAAAAATGCCCAGGGCCCCTCCGAGATGTGGCCACTCACATCAGCCCCTGCTGTGGTGCCTTCTCCCAAGACTAGAGCAAAGAAGTGCTCAGGAGGAGAGGAAGTCCGAAGCACAGAAACCTGCATCTGGCTGCAGGTGAGAACCTTGTGGCCATAAATAACCCATCACTTCATCATTTCATTTCATGGGGGTGGGATGGGAGGCTCCAAAAGCACAATCACCCTCACAAAGTCATGAATTGAGTTCCATTCATGAAAACTTATATCAAGCAAAGGATTTCCCAACAGACTTTCATTACATCAGGCATTCCCACAGAGGGAAGGAAAAGTCATGTGAAACTCCTCTACTGGTGGCCAAATGTGTTTCTTCACAACCTCAGGTGATGCTCTAACACATGGCTAGTTGGATGTTATAACATCTGCAGATGTTTTCAGTAGAGGTGCCGTGCTGTGAAAGGTTTTCACGCTTCAAGCAGACAGAAGACCTTCATAAATTTACATTTAACATTTGAAAACACACAGCAATATTTGTATATAATAGAGCTGTGTGTGTGTCTGCACGCACGCGTGCATGTATGTGTATGTGTTACAAATCAGAAGAGTGTATTTCTTCTTCCACTTCAAGGAGTGAGGAAAAGACTAACATTTATTGAACGTTGACAATGTGTCAAGCGCTATTCACACTGTATCTCCCCATTTTATCCTCACTACAAGCCTGGGGACTATTACTATTAAACATTTTATAAGAGAGGAAATGGGGTTCTGAGAGGTCAAACCACTTGCCTGAGGTCACACAGGCAGCAAATGACAGGGTCGATCTGACTCCAAAGCCCATGTTCTTCCTGCCATATCGCTCCACCTTCTCAAGTTCCAGCAAGTGCTTTCATTAACTTTTCCTGTACTCATCTGTAAACCTTCCTGCTAGAGTAGTTTCTACAGTTCATGGGGAAATGTTGCTGGAAGAGCTGAGGAGGAACAAAATGTTTTTTTATAGGTACAGAAATGATAGAGGTCCGACACATTTTTAGGCTTTTTCAGAAGATACAGTGCAAGAATACAGTCTAGCCTCCTCATTAGTCTCTCATGCACATGGGATGGGGTGTCCTTCTGTGTCTTGTTTAGGACATATGGAAGTGGTATTCCAAGCACAAGGTACAAATGATCTGTGTCCCACCATTTTGTCCACTGTTCCCTGCCACGGTGCTCAGACCACAGTCTCAATCGTGGTGGTGTTGCCATTGTCTCCCTGGCGCCTGGGTTGCATTTCATCTTTGAAAGCCCTGGTCAGAACCACTTTTAAGGACTCCTTGAACCGCTTCTTCCTACTACTGCCCACAAAGAAGTAAATAAAAGGGTTGGCGCTGCTGTTGATGGTGGAGAAGAGAAGAGAAATGTCGTGCAAGTTCCCGAAGGCTGACCAATACTCATAATACAGCAGGTAGAGGAGCCTCATGGGCATGGCGAAAATGAGGAATATGATGATGGTGACCATGATGACTATGTACAGCTTTGAGGAATGGGCCGTCCACGTGTTCTTGCGGATCTTAATCACCAGGATGGTGCTGGACACCACCATGAGAGGAGTAAAGACCAGGAAGCTCAGGGTGGCTATAAAGATGATCACCGCCCTGCAGTCACTTCGAGAGTGACCCTGTCTTTCACTGTCAATGCACATGACATATTCCATGGTGGTCACTAAGCATGACAGTGCCCACAGGAGGGCACAGACAAACGCCGACTGGTGCTTGGGGCGATGGCATCGGTACCAGATGGGGTACAGGACAGACAGGCACCTCTCCACGCTAATGGCCGTCAACAGATAGAGGCCCGTGTTGTAGCCAAACAGAAACGTCACCGATAATGTGACAATCGTGTAGTAATAGCCAGAAGAGAGCTCATAATCTAAAGCATAGTCGACTGACAGAATAAAAATACAAAAGAGCAGTGAGATGTCTGCTATAGACAAGTGGGTGATGTAGACGGTGAAGGGGTTTCTTTTCATCCGGAAGCAGAGGAACCAGAGGAGGAGCCCATTTTCAACAAAGCCCAGAGGGGAAATGCTCATAATCACCCAATGCACGACCGGGATTTCCCGATGCAGGTCCCCGACCGAGGTGTTCCTGGCAATCGAGGTGTTCATGGACTTCTCATCAACAGACGATGTCATGTTCGACACCTCCATGAGGAGGCTGGGGGGCAGGGGCTCTTCAGGTAATTTTCTGTAAACAAGTAAAACAAAAACACACCATGAAAAGTGATGCATTGGGGTAGCAGGGAGAATCTCAGCTATGGGTCATAAACTTCATGTTGCTAACAAATATGTTTAGACTGTACAACTGTCTCTCTGACAATGGTAAAACTAGACATTTCTGCAGAAAAGAGAACTGACTTAATGACTTGTTGATCCTCCAATAGCCCTTAATCCTGTATTATTGTTTGCTTGTGGCTCAGGGCCAACAGGGATCCAACAAAGAAGAGAGGGGCAGAACTCTTGGGGTCCATTTCCCCTCTGGCCCAACTTTCTGAATGGCATTTTGAAAATCAATCATCTCCCATCACTCTGTCTCCCATCCTGAGGAACCAGATTGATCGCGTTCACATGCAAAGACAAAATATATGTGTGGTCCATGTTGTCATTGCTATTATTTTTTTGATGCAGAAAGTGCCACAAGCAATGCGTAAATGATCGGGAAGAGGTACCCAAATTATGTTCAACAGTGTTCCAATATTTTTGAAAGTGTGAACAATTAGAAGGCATTTTTGTCTTATGCGGTTTCAATACCTGTGGCAAAACCAGACACATATCCAGCCTGGGTGTGTGGTGCAAGCCAACGTGCCCTGAGGGACAGATAGTGAGCCTTTGTGAGGTGTGGTCGTCTCCCCACAAGGCACAGGCCAGACCATGCAGGAAAACACTACCGATGTTCAACAAAGCACTCACTTGAAACCAATAAAAATGCTAAATATTTGAGACTGCAAAGCAAAGATTCTCAGAAACTTTCTATCACACTTTTATGAATTGTGAACTAAATGTATGCACAGGCCCCGCCCTCATCCTGTTACGTAACACACAGATGCCACTTCCTCCCCCTCGACAAAGGACAAGGTAGGCAGCCACAGATACCCTCGCCCTGGTGCCAACTTTAACTTGTCCTTGACCTTCTGTTGTGGTCATCAAACCGTTGTCATTTTGACGGTAGTCGTGAAACACTGTTCCTTCTTTGCTTTTTGAACTTTGACCTTGTAGGCCAGGGTCCCTACAAGTGCAAAATAATTAACCTTAAGGAAGTTGATCAAACCAATATTTTAAATTAATAGAAATCTGCCCTTTTCTCACTAGCTTCCCTGAGGCAGAACAGTACAGGATGTGATATTTTATGAAGTTTGCACATCTCAATGACATGATATTTTGGGACTGAGCACAACTCCAGCATCAGCACGGCCTCGTGTTTTGAGCACAGTGCAGCTGCGCCTGAAACCCAGATGAGCAGGCAGCCTGCTGAGAAGGACAGTTACCTCCCCAGAGCTGTGATCCAGGAACCCAGGGGCCCTCTGCCTCCACTGTCCCCATCCCCCATCTCCTAACACTTCCCTTAGCTGCTCTGATAAGGGAGGGGAAATTATTTTTACTAGGGCAAGCTCTCCTTTCATTGCCTAATTAAACAGAAGATATAGACCCAATACCCCCAGGAGCCCAACACAAGGACCAGAATTCAGAATACCATGGCACGGTTGGCCGGAGATCTGCTATAGAGACCAGCCTTTGCTAGAAGTTTGTAAATAAGACAGTCGCGTTCCCCAAATTCATTCACCAAATATTTATTCAGTGCCAGCTTCCTGCCGGGCACTGTTCTACATGCTGGGACACGGCAGTGAATGAAACGAAGCACTACCCTCTTGGAGTTTATTTTCCACCAGGAAGGTGGTCAATAGCCAAACAGCAACAACAAATACAAAGATGCCAGGTCCTAATAAGTGCCACACAGAAAAGTAAAGCATGGACCATGCACGAACCGGAATGTGGTTGTGAGGCAGCATGACATGGTTGGATTCTGGGTGCAATTTAGTTTGTTGATGGCTGAGATGTGTTAGTAGAGAGAGAAGGAGTTTTAAGCCATTTGATGAATGGACAGGGTGCAGGTGGAATAGGTTAGGAAAGGCATATTAAGTGTGAAATGCCTATGGAATAGCCAAATAGGATGTCTAGTAGCATCAGGAGTTGGGGAGACAGGCAGAGGCTGGGGATAAAAATGCGGGTATTGTATGCAACCAGGTGAGATTTAAAATCATGAGGCTAAGTGAGATTATCTAGGAAATTTAGGTAAGTAAAAGGGAGAAAAGGTCCAAAGACCAGTCCTTGGGGCACTTCAAAGTTTACAGGCTGGGGAGATGAGAACGAAGCAAAAGAAACAAGAAGGATCTGGCAGAGAGGGAAGGGACAGCCGAGGGAGAGTGGTGTCCAGGGAGCAAAGGTGGCTCAAGGTGTTTCAACTGCGCTAGCTTCTGGTCCAAGTTCAGATTACATGAGAATTGGGAGTGGACCGCTAGAGCAGAGTCATTGTTGACCTTGAGGAGAGCAGTTTCGGCAGAGTAGAGAAAACGAAAGCCTGGTTAACCAACATGGCTTCCAGGGAGGAGGGGAGAGGGTGCAGATGGTGAGTACAGACAACCCTCTTGAGGAACCTGAATGTAAATTCAAGCAGAAATGGAGCGGTAACTGGAGAGGGCTGCGGGAGTTCTGGGAGAGTTGATAAGCTAATAAGAATTTTCCAGGAGGAAAGAAACCATTGATGATTCATGGCTTTGGGGTCTAGAGCTTGGTGGAGCTGCGGGCTTTCAATGGTAGCATGATTGATTCATCAGAACAGAAGAAAAGGCAGGGTTTGCAGCTAGGCGGGCAGGCTGATGGCGGGAGTGTTAGAAGTGGAAGAAGTTCTCTATTGAATGTACAGTGTCTCTTTTTTTCAGCAAAGATAGAAGCCGGATCATCAGCTAAGAGTGAGGAGAGGCGGACAGTTTAAGGAGAGAGGGCAGCACACAAAATAATTCAGGGAAAAGGGGAAAGGAATAAGGAAATGCACAAAGAGTGAGATTTCAGGCAAAACTTAGAGCCCACCTAGGCTGGTGCTCACGAATTTAAAACTTCAGCATGACACATGCCTTTCTCCAGCTACAGTTCAGCTGTCCAGGTGGGCGCGTGGTGAAGGACGGAAGTCGGATTTAGCCAGGGCTAGGGTTTTACTAGGCTGGTGCAGTGTGGGAAGGAGAGGCATCAATGGGATTACACCACACGGAAGGGAATGGCTACAATGACGGACTATGGAACCTTAACGGGGTTGGGAGAAAGGTGATGTCATGAGAGAGAGGACAGTGACCAGGACATAGGAGCCATCTGATAGATCCCAGTGCTATCAGAGGATTTTAAAGCCCAAGTACTAAAGGTAGGCAACTGGAAAATAGCCTATGGGGGTGGGAGAAAGGGAGGCTTGAGACCAAGGCAGTGCAGTGTGGGGGCTTTCGCTATTGACAAATGTAGAGCATGACGGTGGGAAGGAACGGCTGAGGGAGAGTGGGGGACAAGGTCACATGAGATGAGGTCAGGACCTGGAGCCAGGGCTTTGGAAGAAATACCTGCCCGAACATTGAAATGACTAGGAAATAGTGGAATATGGTTAGGGGAAAAAAGAAAAGAAAAGAAAAGAAAAGACAAGACTGAGCTAAGGTGCTAAAATCTTCCTGGAATTTGGGAGCACAACCCAGGGGTGTGCAAATGGTCACCACGAGGAGGGTCACAGGTAACATAGTTGAATGGCAGGTGCTTCAGAGCTGGGGATTTTGTTGTTAGGGGTGGTGTTTTAGAGGCAGAGAAGAGGAAACAGAATAGTCCTGAATAGAAAAAGGTAGAGGGTAAGAAGGGTCTAGATTGGCACCATCCAGTAGACCTATAATGTAAGCCACATGTCTAATTTAAATTTTTCTAGTAGCCACATACAAAAAACTAACAAGAAACAGGTGAAATGAATGTGAATAACCATTTTGTCTGACCCAGTGTGTCCAAAATACTATTTCAACATGTAATCAATATAAAAAATATTAATGAATATTTTATGATCTGGTTTTCACAGTGAGTCTTTATTTTTTTTTCAACGTTTTTATTTATTTTTGGGACAGAGAGAGACAGAGCATGAATGGGGGAGGGGCAGAGAGAGAGGGAGACACAGAATCGGAAACAGGCTCCAGGCTCTGAGCCATCAGCCCAGAGCCCGACGCGGGGCTCGAACTCACGGACCGCGAGATCGTGACCTGGCTGAAGTCGGACGCTTAACCGACTGCGCCACCCAGGCGCCCCTCACAGTGAGTCTTTAAACCCTCATGTGTGTTTTACCCTTACGGCACATCTCCCATCATACTGGCCATGTTTCACAGGCTCAACAGCCACGTGTGGCCAGTGGCCACTATACTGGACAGCCCAGGTTGCAAACCATCACAAAACCAAAATACCTTGTACAAGGAAGCCAAATGTGTTCATCTGTTAACAACAAACGTAAACCAAAGACTAGAAAGGTGAAATCAGAACTTTTCTAATTTCTAATTGAATTCTCATCAGCATTCCTAAGAAAATTGATAAGAACATTTTGCTCACTCGGGCTCACATCGTGGAACATGTCACAGACCACAGCATCATTCAGCTTTCTTTCAGCTACTCATTATGTGCGGGATTGCTGTCATATACTGCGCATACAAGCCAGTTAGGAAAGGCATTTCGACACATGAGATCGAATTGCATTTTTCTTCCACAGTCAAACCAAAGTAACCAAATTCACTCTCTGGAGACAGATCACCCTCTCTCCATTTTTCAACATTTAGGTTTTGGTCACTTTACAAAGTGTTAAGGATGAAGAAATAAGACATGGCCCTCGGTACCATACTGTAGGGGAGACAGGCAGAACGAAACCTAATTTAATACAGGAAAGGGAATGAAGGAGAACTTGACCACATGCCAGGCAGACGTGCAGCAGGAGGCAGCGTCTCGGGCTTTCCAGGAAGGCTTTCCAGGGCTGGGCTTTGAAGGGTCTGTAAGAGTTTGGTAGCCGAGGGAGGGAAGAAAGGCATTTTAAGAAAAAGGAACAGGGGCGCCTGGGTGGCTCAGTCAGTTGAGTGTCCGACTCTGATTTCGGCTCAGGTCATGATCTCACAGTTTGTGAGTTTGAGCCCTGCA